GGAAGCTTTGAGCGATGAAATCTGGGTCCGATTGCAAGAAGCCTCTGCTGACGTTCGATCACCAAATTGAGGATGGCGATCACGTTGTATAGGGCGGACGAGACCCTGGAAAGATCGCGAGAGAGGTTCGCCTCTCCGGCGAACTGTTTCGGCTGCCGCGGCTGAGCAGTTGCGACGAGCAGCAGCGACGACCCTCTCTGGCGACCCTTGTTTTTTCGGCGAGCAGGGCTGAGCAGCAGCGATGGCTTCGACGGTGGTCTACCCCTCTCCTCCTCTGTCCGGCAGTGGCGATGGCTTCGACATTGTAGAGCACTGTGACTTGTTTTTGAGATGTGCAAGAAACCTAAAAGTTACATCCCTTGGGATTCTAAAAGTCACGTCCCTTGGATTTTTTTTTTGATACCCCCCTGGGATTTCTTTAAATGCCGCAGAATTGGTGCGTTTTTTTAAAGCAGAATTGGTGCGTTAATCCTCACATCTCCTCCCATCTCCTTCTTGAAAGGTTTGTTTCGAATATTCATATTATTCTCTTATTTCTTTTTTTTTTCAAGATTTTATAGAGCTATATTATGATTTTTTTTTTTTTCAGTTTTTGCTTGTGAGTCATTGGAATTATGGAAGAAAAAGATAGAATTAGTGAACTCCCTGCCGGTATACTTGACAATATTATGAGATTTATGCCAATTCTAGATGCTGCCATAGTTGAAATTTTATCTTCCATATGGAAGGATATCTGGTTTAGTTTGACAAAACTTTGTTTTGGCAGTGATTTCTTTGATTACTTATGTCTTAAATATTCCGATGAGGCTTTGGAATTTCATATTTCTGGAGTAGTCAACAACATTTTCATGCGGCACAACGCCTCCTAGAGTTTCCAGATCGGTACTCAAAATACAATTCCTATATCTAAAGTTACCCGCTGCCACCACTGGGCAATCGAACTCCCTAGGCAAATAGAAAGTTGCGAAGATCCTCCGTCTGGGTGGCCAACACCAGTCTGAACAGCGTCTGAGACTGTAGTCTCCATTTGCAATGCCAAGCATGAGCCTCGGCTACCAACGACATCCACGAACTGCGACGAAACAACCTTAAATGCCAGGAAGCCAAGCATGAGTCCCTTTTTTGTCAGCGACCTCTGTTTGCTGGAAATTGGCCCACTGCGCAACGACCTCCGGAAGATCCGCCGATCGACGATCTGACCTGCGGCGAACGTTCTTTGGACATATCCGACACCATCCACACCATCTGATCCTCCATGCAACGACTCCATCGGGGAAGCTTTGAGCGATGAAATCTGGGTTCGATTTCGAGAAGCCTTTGCTGACTTCTCACCAAATTGAGGACGGCGATCACGTTGTATAGGCCGGACAAGACCCTGGAAAGGTCGTGAGAGAGGTTCGCCTCTCCGGTGAACTGTTGCGGCGGCCGCATCTGAGCAGTGGCGACGACCCTCTCTGGCGAACCTTGTTTTTCCGGCGAGCACGGCAGAGCAGCAGCGATGGCTTCGACGGTGGTCTACCCCTCTCCTCCTCTGTCCGGCAGCGGCGATGACTTCGACATTTCAGAGCACTGTGACATTGTCGAGCATTGTGACTTGTTTTTGAGTTGTTCAAGGAACCTAAAAGTTACATCCCTTGGGATTCTAAAAGTCACGTCCCTTGGATTTTTTTTTGATAACCCCCATGGGATTTCTTTAAATGCCGCAGAATTGGTGCGTTTTTTTTTTTTTTTTTTTTTTTTTTTTTTAAGCAGAATTGGTGCGTTAATCCTCTCATCTCCTCCCATCTCCTTCTTGAAAGGTTTGTTTCGAATATTCATATTATTCTCTTATTTCTTTTTTTTTTTCAAGATTTTATAGAGCTATATTATGATTTTTTTTTTTTTATGTTTTTGCTTGTGAGTCATTGGAATTATGGAAGAAAAAGATAGAATTAGTGAACTCCCTGCCGGTATACTTGACAATATTATGAGATTTATGCCAATTCTAGATGCTGCCATAGTTGAAATTTTATCTTCCATCTGGAAGGATATCTGGTTTAGTTTGACAAAACTTTGTTTTGACAGTGATTTCTTTGATTACTTATGTCTTAAATATTCCGATGAGGCTTTGGAATTTCATATTTCTGGAGTAGTCAACAACATTTTCATGCGGCACAATGGACGTATTCACAAAGTTATTTTCAATTTCTGTGGAGATATATTGGATTTCGCAAATGATGATATAGCTAATTTGTTGAAAAACAACTTGAATTAGTGGCTTCTTCTTCTCACCCAGAATGGTGTTAACGAAATGGACATTTCTTGTCCCGAAAATTCGGGATACCTGGTGTCAAATTGCTTTTTTTCTTGCCCAACATTGAAGAGATTGAAACTTTCTGAAGTCCGTGTTGAACTAGTAGATGTCTATGAACTTCCAAATGTGATATCACTTTATCTTGAATATGTTGACTTTTTGTGTGGAGATTATTCGGATTATGTTGTTTATCTTCCCATGCTAGAGGATCTCTCATTTTGTTATTCTAGAAACATATTTGATTTTCACATTCTTGCACCAAAACTTGGTAGTTTGAAGACCATCCCATCTTGTAGTTGTAGTGTTCTAAAATTAGGAACAAACCCCCTATTGGGGTTGCCATAATATTAACATAATTAATTTTTAAAAAATATTAAATATTATAATACTCACATTTTTAATTTTTAATAAAATTAATTGTACTTGGTATCATAATTCATAATGTTATGTTTTCCCCCCAAAACAGCAAAAAAAGTAAAACTCTTGCACTTGCCCTTTTTCTCTTCCCTATAGCAATACCTACCTCTCAGTTTGTTTGTTTTTTTTTTTTTTTTGAAACCAGCACTTCTCAGTTCTACTCACCATACGGCCTACGCCAGAGATTTTTTTTTTCTATGTACAGTTCTAGAGGGATGTATATTATCTCGTCCTTCAAGTCAACTCATCGTCAGTAGTATTGTTTTAGTCGATTCTTGAGGGTAGTTCAGGATAGGGGATGCTACGGAACAGAGTTCTATGGATCGTGGTCACTGACAGTGCCGCCACAGACTACTCCGACGATGAAGGGGAGAGGGCGGTGGGGATGTGGATGAGGGTGAAGAGGCACATGTGGGGGATCAAGTTTGTGCCGATGCCGCCATTTGATGCCTGCAGCCAAAAGTTCATTGGAGTGCGTAAGTGGCCGAGGGGGCGTTGGGCGTTGGAGATTTGCGACCCCACCCGGGGGAAACGCCTCTGGCTCGACACCTATGACAGCCCGGAAGAAACTGTCGTCGTGTACGACAACGCCTCCGTGAGACTAAAAGGCCCTGACGCCGTTACCAACTTCTTGAAAAATACGGTAACCGAGACGGCCGTTGATACCTCGCTCACCTCAAGCAACACGGCTCTATCCCCCGCCTCCGTCCTCTGTTACGACGACTTCACTCCGTTCGATAGACCTGTGCAGAGTGACTTCATCCCAAACGAAGCTACCGCCGTCAACGAATTCAAGGCGTTAGATAATCTGGATTTCGAAAACTTTGACTTTGACTTTTACTTCTTCGGCTTAACAATTTTTCCATTATTCCCAACACACTGCGTCCATGAATTTGACGAGTTTGATGCTGAAAATTATTAGGACACCCCGTTCTTTTATGTTGTACTGTTTAATTTTTTTTAGGGTGTAATGCAACCGTGATGTGGCATTTTTTGGGGGCAAATCAAGAAATGTGGGTAACTGTGATATGGAATGGAGCATCTGGTCCGAATGAAATTCAAATTGGCTGGCTTGTATGAACTGTGGAACTCTAATTTTCATCAAGCTGACAGCATGGTTGATCCAAAAAAATTATTTATTTATTTATTTATTATTCTAAAAATTATAATCTATATGCATATCTATAACATAAATTAAAATTTATAATTTCAATTTTAAAGCGAAATCGTCAGGAAACGAGAACTCCTAGAGTTTCCAGATCGGTACTCAAAATACAATTCCTATATCTAAAGTTACCCGCTGCCACCACTGGGCAATCGAACTCCCTAGGCAAATAGAAAGTTGCGAAGATCCTCCGTCTGGGTGGCCAACACCAGTCTGAACAGCGTCTGAGACTGTAGTCTCCATTTGCAATGCCAAGCATGAGCCTCGGCTACCAACGACATCCACGAACTGCGACGAAACAACCTAAAATGCCAGGAAGCCAAGCATGAGTCCCTTTTTTGTCAGCGACCTCTGTTTGCTGGAAATTGGCCCACTGCGCAACGACCTCCGGAAGATCCGCCGATCGACGATCTGACCTGCGGCGAACGTTCTTTGGACATATCCGACACCATCCACACCATCTGATCCTCCATGCAACGACTCCATCGGGGAAGCTTTGAGCGATGAAATCTGGGTTCGATTTCGAGAAGCCTTTGCTGACTTCTCACCAAATTGAGGACGGCGATCACGTTGTATAGGCCGGACAAGACCCTGGAAAGGTCGTGAGAGAGGTTCGCCTCTCCGGTGAACTGTTGCGGCGGCCGCATCTGAGCAGTGGCGACGACCCTCTCTGGCGAACCTTGTTTTTCCGGCGAGCACGGCAGAGCAGCAGCGATGGCTTCGACGGTGGTCTACCCCTCTCCTCCTCTGTCCGGCAGCGGCGATGACTTCGACATTTCAGAGCACTGTGACATTGTCGAGCATTGTGACTTGTTTTTGAGTTGTTCAAGGAACCTAAAAGTTACATCCCTTGGGATTCTAAAAGTCACGTCCCTTGGATTTTTTTTTGATAACCCCCATGGGATTTCTTTAAATGCCGCAGAATTGGTGCGTTTTTTTTTTTTTTTTTTTTTTTTTTTTTAAGCAGAATTGGTGCGTTAATCCTCTCATCTCCTCCCATCTCCTTCTTGAAAGGTTTGTTTCGAATATTCATATTATTCTCTTATTTCTTTTTTTTTTTCAAGATTTTATAGAGCTATATTATGATTTTTTTTTTTATGTTTTTGCTTGTGAGTCATTGGAATTATGGAAGAAAAAGATAGAATTAGTGAACTCCCTGCCGGTATACTTGACAATATTATGAGATTTATGCCAATTCTAGATGCTGCCATAGTTGAAATTTTATCTTCCATCTGGAAGGATATCTGGTTTAGTTTGACAAAACTTTGTTTTGACAGTGATTTCTTTGATTACTTATGTCTTAAATATTCCGATGAGGCTTTGGAATTTCATATTTCTGGAGTAGTCAACAACATTTTCATGCGGCACAATGGACGTATTCACAAAGTTATTTTCAATTTCTGTGGAGATATATTGGATTTCGCAAATGATGATATAGCTAATTTGTTGAAAAACAACTTGAATCAGTGGCTTCTTCTTCTCACCCAGAATGGTGTTAACGAAATGGACATTTCTTGTCCCGAAAATTCGGGATACCTGGTGTCAAATTGCTTTTTTTCTTGCCCAACATTGAAGAGATTGAAACTTTCTGAAGTCCGTGTTGAACTAGTAGATGTCTATGAACTTCCAAATGTGATATCACTTTATCTTGAATATGTTGACTTTTTGTGTGGAGATTATTCGGATTATGTTGTTTATCTTCCCATGCTAGAGGATCTCTCATTTTGTTATTCTAGAAACATATTTGATTTTCACATTCTTGCACCAAAACTTGGTAGTTTGAAGACCATCCCATCTTGTAGTTGTAGTGTTCTAAAATTAGGAATAAACCCCCTATTGGGGTTGCCATAATATTAACATAATTAATTTTAAAAAAATATTAAATATTATAATACTCACATTTTTAATTTTTAATAAAATTAATTCTACTTGGTATCATAATTCATAATGTTATGTTTTCCCCCCAAAACAGCAAAAAAAGTAAAACTCTTGAACTTGCCCTTTTTCTCTTCCCTATAGCAATACCTACCTCTCAGTTTGTTTTTTTTTTTTTTTTTGAAACCAGCACTTCTCAGTTCTACTCACCATACGGCCTACGCCAGAGATTTTTTTTTTTCTATGTATAGTTCTAGAGGGATGTATATTATCTCATCCTTCAAGTCAACTCATCGTCAGTAGTATTGTTTTAGTCGATTCTTGAGGGTAGTTCAAGATAGGGGATGCTACGGAACAGAGTTCTATGGATCGTGGTCACTGACAGTGCCGCCACAGACTACTCCGATGATGAAGGGGAGAGGGCGGTGGGGATGTGGAGGAGGGTGAAGAGGCACATGTGGGGGATCAAGTTTGTGCCGATGCCGCCGTTTGATGCCTGCAGCCAAAAGTTCAGAGGAGTGCGTAAGTGGCCAAGGGGGCGTTGGGCGTTGGAGATTTGCGACCCCACCCGGGGGAAACGCCTCTGGCTCGACACCTATGACAGCCCGGAAGAAACTGTCGTCGTGTACGACAACGCCTCCGTGAGACTAAAAGGCCTTGACGCCGTCACCAACTTCTTGAAAAATACGGTAACCGAGACGGCCGTTGATACCTCGCTCACCTCAAGCAACACGGCTCTATCCCCCGCCTCCGTCCTCTGTTACGACGACTTCACTCCGTTCGATAGACCTGTGCAGAGTACCTTCATCCCAAACGAAGCTGCCGCTGTCAACGAATTCAAGGCGTTAGATAATCTGGATTTCGAAAACTTTGACTTTGACTTTTACTTCTTCGGCTTAACAATTTTTCCATTATTCCCAACACACTGCGTCCATGAATTTGACGAGTTTGATGCTGAAAATTATTAGGACACCCCGTTCTTTTATGTTGTACTGTTTAATTTTTTTTAGGGTGTAATGCAACCGTGATGTGGCATTTTTTGGGGGCAAATCAAGAAATGTGGGTAACTGTGATATGGAATGGAGCATCTGGTCCGAATGAAATTCAAATTGGCTGGCTTGTGTGAACTGTGGAACTCTAATTTTCATCAAGCTGACAGCATGGTTGATCCAAAAAAATTATTTATTTATTATTCTAAAAATTATAATCTATATGCATATCTATAACATAAATTAAAATTTATAATTTCAATTTTAAAGCGAAATCGTCAGGAAACGAGAACTCCTAGAGTTTCCAGATCGGTACTCAAAATACAATTCCTATATCTAAAGCTACCCGCTGCCACCACTGGGCAATCGAACTCCCTAGGCAAATAGAAAGTTGCGAAGATCCTCCGTCTGGGTGGCCAACACCAGTCTGAACAGCGTCTGAGACTGTAGTCTCCATTTGCAATGCCAAGCATGAGCCTCGGCTACCAACGACATCCACGAACTGCGACGAAACAACCTAAAATGCCAGGAAGCCAAGCATGAGTCCCTTTTTTGTCAGCGACCTCTGTTTGCTGGAAATTGGCCCACTGCGCAACGACCTCCGGAAGATCCGCCGATCGACGATCTGACCTGCAGCGAACGTTCTTTGGACATATCCGACACCATCCACACCATCTGATCCTCCATGCAACGACTCCATCGGGGAAGCTTTGAGCGATGAAATCTGGGTTCGATTTCGAGAAGCCTTTGCTGACTTCTCACCAAATTGAGGACGGCGATCACGTTGTATAGGCCGGACAAGACCCTGGAAAGGTCGTGAGAGAGGTTCGCCTCTCCGGTGAACTGTTGTGGCGGCCGCGTCTGAGCAGTGGTGACGACCCTCTCTGGCGAACCTTGTTTTTCCGGCGAGCACGGCAGAGCAGCGGCGATGGCTTCGACGGTGGTCTACCCCTCTCCTCCTATGTCCGGCAGCGGCGATGACTTCGACATTTCAGAGCACTGTGACATTGTCGAACATTGTGACTTATTTTTGAGTTGTTCAAGGAACCTAAAGTTACATCCCTTGGGATTCTAAAAGTCACGTCCCTTGGATTTTTTTTTTTGATAACCCCCTTGGGATTTCTTTAAATGCCGCAGAATTGGTGCGTTTTTTTTTTTGTTTTTTTTTTTTTAAGCAGAATTGGTGCGTTAATCCTCTCATCTCCTCCCATCTCCTTCTTGAAAGGTTTGTTTCGAATATTCATATTATTCTCTTATTTCTATTTTTTTTTCCAGATTTTATAGAGCTATATTATGATTTTTTATTTTTTATCTTCAGTTTTTACTTGTGAGTCATTGGAATTATGGAAGAAAAAGATAGAATTAGTGAACTCCCTGCCGGTATACTTGACAATATTATGAGATTTATGCCAATTCTAGATGCTGCCATAGTTGAAATTTTATCTTCCATCTGGAAGGATATCTGGTTTAGTTTGACAGAACTTTGTTTTGACAGTGATTTCTTTGATTACTTATGTCTTAAATATTCCGATGAGGCTTTGGAATTTCATATTTCTGGAGTAGTCAACAACATTTTCATGCGAAGCCAAGCATGAGCCTCGGCTACCAACGGCATCCAAGGACTGTGACGGAACAACCTAAAACGCCAGGAAGCCAAGCATGAGCCCCTTCTTTGTCAGCGGCCTGTGTTTGCTGGAAATTGGCCCACTGCGAAACCACCTCTAGAAGATCCAGTGACCGCCGATCGACGATCTGACCAGCGGCGAACGTTCTTTGGACATATCCGACACCATCCACATCATCTAATCCTCCATGGAACGACTCCATCGGGGAAGCTTTGAGCGATGAAATCTGGGTCCGATTGCGAGAAGCCTCTGCTGACGTTCGATCACCAAATTGAGGATGGCGATCACGTTGTATAGGGCGGACGAGACCATGGAAAGATCGCGAGAGAGGTTCGCCTCTCCGGCGAACTGTTTCGGCTGCCGCGGCTGAGCAGTTGCGACGAGCAGCAGCGACGAGCCTCTCTGGCGACCCTTGTTTTTTCGGCGAGCAGGGCTGAGCAGCAGCGATGGCTTCGACGGTGGTCTACCCCTCTCCTCCTCTGTCCGGCAGTGGCGATGGCTTCGACATTGTAAAGCACTGTGACTTGTTTTTGAGATGTGCAAGAAACCTAAAAGTTACATCCCTTGGGATTTCTTTAAATGCCGCAGAATTGGTGCGTTTTTTTAAAGCAGAATTGGTGCGTTAATCCTCTCATCTCCTCCCATCTCCTACTTGAAAGGTTTGTTTCGAATATTCATATTATTCTCTTATTTCTTTTTTTTTTCAAGATTTTATAGAGCTATATTATGATTTTTTTTTTCAGTTTTTACTTGTGAGTCATTGGAATTATGGAAGAAAAAGATAGAATTAGTGAACTCCCTGCCGGTATACTTGACAATATTATGAGATTTATGCCAATTCTAGATGCTGCCATAGTTGAAATTTTATCTTCCATCTGGAAGGATATCTGGTTTAGTTTGACAAAACTTTGTTTTGACAGTGATTTCTTTGATTACTTATGTCTTAAATATTCCGATGAGGCTTTGGAATTTCATATTTCTGGAGTAGTCAACAACATTTTCATGCGGCACAATGGATGTATTCATAAAGTTATCTTCAATTTCTGTGGAGATATATTGGATTTCGCAAATGATGATATAGCTAATTTTTGAAAAACAACTTGAATCAGTGGTTTCGACTTGGTAGTTTGAAGATCATCCCATCTTGTAATTGTAGTGTTTTAAAATTAGGAATAAACCCCCTATTGGGGTTGCCCTAATAATAACATAATTAAATTTTAAAAAATATTAGATATTATAATACACACATTTTTAATTTTTAATAAAATTAATTCTACTTGGTATAATAATTCATAATGTTATGTTTTCCCCCCAAAACAGCAAAAAAGTAAAACTCTTGCACGTACCCTTTTTCTCTTCCCTATAACAATACCTACATCTCAGTTCGCTTTTATTTTTTTGTTTATTTATTTATTTATTTATTTTTTTGAAACCAGCACTTCTCAGTTCTACTCACCCTACGGCATACGCCATAGATTTGTTGTTTTTTTTTTTAAATGTACAGTTCTAGAGAGATGTATATTATCTCATCCTTCAAGTCTACTCATCGTCAGTAGTCTTGTTTCAGTCGATTCTTGAGGGTAGTTCGGGATAGGGGATGCTCCGGAACAAAGTTCTACGGATTGTGGTCACTGACAGTGACGCCACGGACTCCTCCGATGATGAAGGGGAGAGGGCGGTGGGGATTTGGAGGAGGGTGAAGAAGCACATGTGGGGGATCAAGTTTGTGCCGACGCCGTCGTTTGACGCCTGCAGCCGGAAGTTCAGAAGAGTGTGTAAGCGGCCGAAGGGGCGTTGGGCGGTGGAGATTCGCGACCCCACCCGTGGGAAACACCTCTGGCTCAGCACCTATGACAGCCCGGAAGAAGCTGTTGCCGTGTACAACAACACCTCCGTGAGACTAAAAGGCCCTGACGCCGTCACCAACTTCCCAAAAAAAACGGTAACTGAGACGACCGTCGATACCTCGCTTACCTCAAGCCACGCAGCTCTGTCCCCCGCCTCCGTCCTCCGTTACGACGACTTCACTCTGTTTGATAGCCCTGTGCATAGTGACTTCATCCCAAACGAAGCTGTCACCGTCAACGAATTCATAGCTTTAGAAAATATGGATTTCGGAAACTTTGACTTTGACTTCGACTTCGACTTCTTCGGCTTACCAAGTTTTCCATTATTCGCAACACACTGCGTCCATGAATTTGACGAGTTTGAAGCTGAAATTTATTAGAACACCCCGTTCTTTATTGTTGAACTGTTAAATTTTTTTAGGGTGTAATGCAACCGTGATGTGGCATTTTTTGGGGGCTATCAAGAAATGTGTGTAACTGTGATATGGAATGGAGCATCTGGTCCGAATGAAATTTCAAATTGGCTGGTTTGTGTGAACTGTGGAACTCTAGTTTTCATCAAGCTAACAGTATGGTTGATCCAAAAAAACTATTTATTTATTTATTTCTTATTCTAAAAAGTATAATCTATAACATAAATTAAAATTTATAATTTCAATTTTAAAGCGAAATCGTCAAGAAAAGAGAACTCCTAGAGTTACCAGAACGGTACTCAAAATACAATTTCCTATATCTAAAGCTACCCGCCTCGACCACTGGGCAATCGAACTCCCTAGGCAATCAGAAAGTTGCGAAGATCCTCCGTCTGGGTGGCCAACACCAGTATGAGCAGCGGCTGAGACCGTTGTCTCCATTTGCGAAGCCAAGCATGAACCTCGGCTACCAACGGCATCCACGGACTGCGACGGAACAACCTAAAACGCCAGGAAGCCAAGCATGAGCCCCTTCTTTGGCAGCGACCTCTGTTTGCTGGAAATTGGCCCACTGTGCAACGATCTCCGTAAGATCCAGCGACCGCCGATCGACGATCTGACCAGCGGCGAACGTTCTTAGGACATATCCGACACCATCTGATCCTCCATGCAACGACTCCATCGGGGAAGCTTTGGGCGATGAAATCTGGGTCCGATTGCGAGAAGCCTCTGCTGACGTTCGATCACCAAATTGAGGACGGCGATCACGTTGTATAGTTCGGACGAGACCCTGGAAAGGTCGCGAGAGAGGTTCGCCTCTCCGGCGAACTGTTGCAGCGGCCGCGGTTGAGCAATGGCGACGAGAAGCAACGACGACCCTCTCTAGCGAACCTTGTTTTTCCAGCTCTCCTCCTCTGTCCGGCAGCGGCGATGGCTTCGAAATTGCAGAGCACTGTGACATTGTCGAGCATTGTGACTTGTTTTTTAGATTGGTGCAAGGAACCTAAAAGTTACATCCCTTGGGATTCTAAAAGTCACGTCCCTTGGATTTTTTTTTGATAACCCCCCTGGGATTTCTTTAAACGCCGCAGAAT